TATGTGTGTGTGTGTATTTATATATTTATAATATCAAAGCAAGCCTACTTTCACATGATATTGATGCAAGCAGAAAGGTTACTTACTGCACTGCATCTTGGTAGGGCATTCACTCACCCAAACATATTAAATTCGACTATAGATTATTATAAGTCTACGTGAATCTTCATGACTAAATTTCTACCTCTAACGCGCTCTCGCCGAAAGCGTGCGGGACGTGTTTATCCAATGCCTCTGCATACTTCGCCGCTAATTCCTTTGAAGATGACTCGGAACGGCTCCAAACGCACGAGATGCTCACTTGTTGTGCACGTACAAGTGATATCCACGGAAGAAAATGGGCTTCTTTTGAAAAGATTCCAGGGCCAACTATGGCCACGTCAAGACAACTAATTGCCATCCCAGTGTAAAATGTGGAGAATTTTTTTGTCTACAACGCCTATACGACGTGCAGTCGTGCCTTTCTTCGGTCCTGACTCCTGACCGACGTATTTACAGTACATATGTATGCGACAAGATGTAATTTAGCCTTCTGAAAATTGAACAAAGAGGCAATCCTAAGGTATTTTTATATTTTTTTTTTAAAAGTATGTACATACGTACTGTACATAGGAAGTTACTTTTTATATATATAAATGTACATACTTACTGTACAGACGTAAATTTACGCCCCATCACCTACTACTCGCGTTTCTCAGGCATAACAATTTAAACCTCTTTACGACAGAGGGGTGGGCGAACGCGGGTTGAGCGGAGCGGAGTACAAGGCTACAAGCGTATGGGTTATGTGTACGTTTGCCTTTCGGTGTGCGCATAAGTTTTGTATGCGTATGTGTAAATAACGAGATTGGGTTTAAGTTTGTGTCTCCAGAGTGTGTGGTTAGTAGGTGTGTGAGGGAGGGAGAGAGAGAGAGAGAGAGAGAACTTATGTGTATGAGTATAACATGTTTGGTGTGTGTGTATACGTTTTTGTGTATGAGTGTTCATGTGGGTTTGTACGCGCGTGTGTGTGGGTGTGTGTGTATATATCGGTGCTTGTCTGGGTATGGATGTGTATTTGCATATATGTGTGTGTGTATCTGCGTGTGCATGTATTTGAGTGTATGTGTATGTGCCTCTGTGTGTATACACATGCTCAAGTGTGTGTGCGTATTCATGTGTTTTTATTATGACTTTGTCTGTCTGATTTTGTCTTTATGTGTGTGTGTATAGATACAGCATTACGCGCAGAGCAACTGACATATATGTGGGAGCAAATCCGTGCTAGTAGGGATAGGCTGCCCATCTACTTAAGCTAATTATTAATAGTTATTTTAAGCCGGAAAGCAAGAATTGTCCTAGACATGTATTCACATCGATCATTAGCTCAAATTTGCCCCAGGTTCGACGCCCTTAATCTAGAATGTTATAAACGATCAGGGTAGAAGCTAAGGGTAGTTTCCGCCGGATATTCGCCACAAGGGTTCTAACTTCTATATGACAGTCCTATATGTAGTGTTTCTTCTTTATATAGTCATGTAGAATTCAAGTATGTTGGTGTAGGGTTTAAATAGTATTCTAATATTGAATTTGCTGAGTAGAATATATGCAGTCCCTTGGGCGTCCTGAACCCATGCAAATACCTCTTTTCGACCTACAACCTTTGTTGCCTAGGTATTAGTTTCGTGAAACCGAGATCCATTCTGTGCAAGTACCCACTTGTATATCTGTGCAAGGACCCACTAGTACCGCGTTTAAACATATCCAACTCGGATGGAGGTATGCAATCTCTATATGCTGGGGAGTTCCATGTGCTAGATATTGTCTAACACAGGGAGTTTATGCGCTCAGGAGCGTATTTTACGATGCAGGCTAACAGAGGCATGCATAAGGCAATCAATTTCTACTATTATTATTCACATATATGTGGCTGTGGTCTCACGTAGTATCGAGCGGATGCAACCGAGTATTATAGCAACTGGGTATATATATATAGCAGATTACGATTGGTGAATCACTTTCTCTTGAAAAAGTATATTGCCCAGGTATTTATCAGAATCTATTATTTGAAAAAATACACGAGATCTTCGTTTTTTGTTTTGTTTTGTTTTGTTTTTTTTTTTGGGGGTGGG